AGGGTTCGTATCATCCCTGATCATCCAGGAGTACGCTCGTCCCTGAAGCATCACCTACCCAGGGTTCGTATCATCCCTGATCATCCAGGAGTACGCTCGTCCCTGAAGCATCACCTACCCAGGGTTCGTATCATCCCTGATCATCCAGGAGTACGCTCGTCCCTGAAGCATCACCTACCCAGGGTTCGTATCATCCCTGATCATCCAGGAGTACGCTCGTCCCTGAAGCATCACCTACCCAGGGTTCGTATCATCCCTGATCATCCAGGAGTACGCTCGTCCCTGAAGCATCACCTACCCAGGGTTCGTATCATCCCTGATCATCCAGGAGTACGCTCGTCCCTGAAGCATCACCTACCCAGGGTTCGTATCATCCCTGATCATCCAGGAGTACACTCATCCCTGAAGCATCACCTACCCAGGGTTCGTATCATCCTTGATCATTGAGGGGTACGCTCGTCCCTGAGGCATGAGTGTGAGGAACCACCATTACAATCACAATCACAATCATATCCATACAACATCTCATATCATACCTTAATTCCATATCATATACACACCCCTCAAGCAATTCACATCTAGATCATCAATTCTTGTCAATTAATATAACAATGACATTAATAAAATTAATATAATAATAAATAGAATTATCAATTTGATATAATTTTAACATAAACAGTAAAACCCTCAATTATTCCAAAACCTAACTCACAGGCAATTTTCTATAGTTTCTTTCTCCCTCTCAGATCATCATTCTTACAAATTAAATATGTATTTCTAATCCTCAACACATACAAAATCTAATGGGATCATCAATTTCGCAAATAGAAATATTCCAATTTTTTCCAAAACCTAGCTTACAGGTACTTTTCTATAATTTCGTTCTCTCTCCCAAAGCATCATTCTTACAAATAAATCATATATTCGTAGTCCTAAATATATACAAAATCAAATAAGACCAATAATCCTCCAAGCAGAAATAGTTATAAAATTACTCATAATCCTAAGGGATTCTTCCTCTACCGAATTCTCTCATGTAACTCTACATATAAATAATTCCTTTTTCCCCCGTACTTGGATAAACAACAGTTGAACTAAAACAGAGATCTCTTGGTCTCCTACTCTAAGAGCCCCTTCGGTCTTCAGAGAGAAGGAGAGGGAAAGAAAAGAGAGCAGAAGAGAAAAGGAAGAAAGGATGAGAGGTGTGTTTTTGGAGGAGGTGAAGAGCTCTATTTATAGGAATTCTGGCTCACCTACTGCAACGGCCCGTACTGAAAGCGGAACAGCCCGTTCTGGGACCTTCAAATATACGTACCATTGGAACGACCCATTCCAATTAAACATTTTAGGCATTTTCCTTACTTCGGAACGACCCGTTTCACTTTGAGAACGACCCGTTCTGAAAACCCAAATAGGCATTTTTTTCTAATTTGGAACAACCCGTTCTACTTTT